ACAAGCATGTGTGGAACTGCAATAGCCATATGAGGTCCAATAGAGGCTTAAGGTAATGAACTGAAGCAATCTTCCTAGATGAGGGAGGATGTGAAAATATACTGATGAAGCCTATAACCTATCTCAATCCAGGCACATGGTTTCCAGAGCATATCATCATTCTTAACTGTTATCTGAAAAGCAAAGGGGAAGTCAGGATTCTGGAATCACGTCAGTAACTCTTACTCAAGTATAAATCCAGTTGTTGAATTTCCAATATATGGGAATTTACTTTTGAACACATTTTGCAAAAGCATGAGAATATGGAGCAAATTTTTCACTAATGAGTTATTCCAATTAAAAGTAGCTGGAGGGAAAATAAGAAGCAGTGACTACTAGGATTAGAAAAGTAATCAGACATAGTAGAGAGATGTAGTATGATATGTTTTCTGTAAAGCAGACTTGAGAGAGGTTTTATTGAGCTTAGTAACTTCCAGATTTAGAAGAGCATTGAGGATGATTTAGAGATGCACATAGGAGACACTGAAGAGCCCAAACCAAAGCTTTCTGTTCTTTACTGATGCCCAATGGCAGGAGGGTATTTTGATTGATAAAATAAGGTTAAAAACCCATTGCCTACCATCAATTCCAACTCATAACAACACTATAGGACAGAGTAGAACTGCCACATACAGTTTCCAAGGCTGCAAATCTTCACAGACTCCAACAGCCACATCTTTCTCCTGTGGAGCATCTGTTAAGTTTGAACTACTGACCTTTTGGTTAGCAGCCAAGCACTTAACCACTGCACCATCAGTAATGAAAATAAGCTTAGGCTACAAAAATATGTTTACTGGCAAGATGAATGATGTAGGTGTACATGGGGATGATGTAGGTATAAATGGGAATATTCCCTTAATTATGTTAAACTCAGAAAAGTTATATAAAGGCTTTTCAAACACTTTTCCTTGACAAGTATCCACATTCCTCTATCACTTTAAGACCACTATACCTAGCCACCAACGTCAATTCAATTCTAACTCATAGTGACCTCCACAGAGTTCCCAAGGTAAATCTTTATGGAAGTAGATTGCCTCATCTTCCTCTTGTGGAGTCCCTGGTGTGTTTGAACCACCAAACTTACAGTTAGTAGCCAAATGTCTTACCTGTTGTAGAACCAAAGCTCCTTTTAAGACCACTGTAGCATCTAGGAAAAGGCACTCTTGTGCCACATTGGTTAACACATTCTCCTTCTAACCAAAAGGTAGATGATTTCAAACCACCAGCTTCCCCGCAGAAGAAAAATGAAGCAGTCTGCTTCTGTAAAGATTTACATACAGCCTTAGAAATCCTACAGGGCAGTTCTACTCTATCCTACAGGGTCATCATGATTCAGAATTGACTCAATGGCAGAGGGGTTTTATAGCATCAAGAAACTGTGAATTAACAGTTTCCAGTAAAATAATTTTTAAAATATTGAACATATTAATGTAGAAGGAAAAAAAATCACAATAGTGTGCATTTAATCCACAAGGAAAACAAAATGACTTTTATAAAACTTTGAAACTTTCTGAGGGTGAAATCCTGAAAAGTGGAATTCTAGTAAAGAAACAATATAACTATAAATCAGTTTTGTATTTTCAATTGTTGCACTTTTATTATTTAAATTATATAATTACTATGCTCTCTGTTTAGTGAGACCTTTAAATTGTTATTTTCACAAAACTAAAAAATTGGTTTTCTCATGATGTCAGTCCCTTAATCCTACTCTTCCCCAAAGTCTTATACCCTTTAGCTGTGATTTCTCCTACCAAGGAGGTATTTGAAGCAATTACTTTTCTTTTTTGGCACCTGGATTAGCTCTGTGTCTGTGGGATAACTGTTACTTTTCCCAGGACTGCAGTTTCTCATCTACCAAATAAAGGGATTAATCTTGATGATCATTAATATAATTTTATGCTCAAAATTCCAAAATCTGAATACTTTATGTCATGGTATGGGGTGTCATAAAGATTTGGTGAAGGTTTGAACTGCTTATATATTTAAAAATTTTTGTTTGCTTGATTAATTGTTATTAGTTATCCACAGGAAATAGCCACAATGTTCACTGTATTTGTTTAGAACTAAGTATGTTGGAAATGTCAGTCATCATATACCAAATTTCTTTTTTTTGAAAATCTAATTTAGGCTTCCCTTTGTTTTCCCCCTTCCTTGGTCGTCTTTATTTGTGTTTAAAACCACATTCCATAGCCATGTAGATTCAGAGAGAAGCACTATTATAGCTTAATACTAATAGACCACTATGTAAGTTACAGATAAAATCTTTGCTCCACTAGCTATTACACCTGTTATTTTGGAAAAAATATTTAAATTATTTGGGCTTAGTTTTCTAACCTAGGAAATTAGTGGCAATAAGGATAAAGCCTACTGGATAGGGTTCATTAGATAGATAGATAAATAGTTAGGTATAAAAGCATTGCTATATAAAAAGCATTGGTCTGTGGTAGGTATTTAACAATTAACTATATTACTAATTATATAAAACACTCATTCTAAATCAATTATACATACATTTATGAATTGCTCATGTATACTGCATCACAGTCAATATTTTTAAACACCCAAAAGTTCTTAAATATCATATAATTTATTTCAGATCTATCCATTTTATGGTTGAAATATTATCACTTCTAAATAGACAAATTTCACAATCTGGCTTTGTAATAATGTGTTTAAATTTATTGTTTGTTCACCAATATACAAAATTTAAACACAATAGTTGCCATAAAAAAAAAAAAAAAAACTTAAGAATTAATCTTAATAGCTAAAAAGCAGACATCTTGACAAAAAATAAAATAAAAGTGATTATCTCATATGCTACTTACTAGTGTAAGTGAGTTGAAAACCTTGGTCAGTGTCAGATCCATTACTGTTGAATTCTAACCACAAGTGATTAGAAGTGCTATTTAGGATCAATCCCATCAGCTCATTTTTCATGAAGGCTCCCAGTTGACGTGATGAGCTATCTTTTCCATCATATACCTAACAAAAAATTCACAGCATAAGTCTCTCTATTCTTTAATTTTGTCTTCATGTTAGCAATTTTAATAAGAAATTCAAATGTTCAAGGATATAATTTTATACAGTACTTATACAATGTACACAGTTTGCAGAAAGTCAAAAGAATGACTTACTAAATAATCATTTTACTTTGTTTTCACTTTCCATTAACATTATAGATAAAAGCTTTCCATTTGTGCAGAGATGATATTACATTCATTACTTTCAGAGATTTTTTCTGAATTTACTTTAAATTAAAGAAAAAACATTTATTTGCATTTTCAAGTTTCATTACCTGACTTTTTCCTCCATTCTGTAATCTGCTTATAAACGTTGAAAGGAATTATATTTCTGTCATAAATCTCTCTCTGAAATATCATATAAGTAATGGCACATTTCTGTGTGTTGCCTTCTTTTTTGGAATGCATTACAAAACAAGACAAAGTGCTTCAATCCTGTCGCATTTTTTTAGTCTTTAAGCCCTAGGTGACTTTCATCATGAATAAGTTATAATAAAAGAATCCCATTAGGAAATATAAGAAAGATGTTGTCTTACTCTAACATACTTTGTATTTGACTTTACCTTTTTAAGTGATTGCAAAACATGAATGAATATAAATATTTGAAAGGTGAAGTAAAAAGAACTTAGTTTTGACCAGACATTATCAGTTAATGGAGGTATCAGTAATTGGTTCACAGGTATCACTGAGATAGGTCATACTGGAAGTGAATGGATACTAATCTTATTTCCTGAGTGAGACCTGGGCATTGTGAAATATTTCACAATTTACTTTTTGGCTGATGGCATGAAGTTCCTTTAATATAAATAGTGTTTACATTATTAGAATTAAGAATTGGAGACCCCCCTCCCATGCCTCAATAGATTAGCAAGAATAGAATGTTTAATGGAATGGTTAACTCAATTTGATATATTGGTATTGTGATAGTTGAAGATGTGTCAACTAGGCTGGACTCCAGTTGTGAGTGGTGGTTCCCATGATGGATCACATGACTGAGTCCTAAGCGGCCGGTCTGCCCAAGGGGAGTTTCCCCAGGGGTGTGGCCTACCTGCAATGCTATCCCAGGGACAAGCTGGAAGAACGGCATTCCGT